ATTATCTTGTTGGATTACAATTACTTGCTCATGAAACTAGGCCAAGTCTCTTGGATGGCAGGTATTACTGTATGCAGCAACATCTCTTTAAAAACTTCTTTTGTTACACTTGATATTGGTCTGGTTTCCATTGAACCCGCTTCTCTGTTCTTGCTTTTTCTCTTAGTGGCAACACATTCCACGAAGGGGAAAATCCCTATTTTACCATCCCAAAGTACTTCATCTTCATCTAAAATAACAGGTCTTCCTACAACTGCTAAGAACATGATTTTTGTGATAAATCTCTTTTGTTGACATGTTCTGTGAGGCTCATCCTCATCTAGAGTCAAGTAGTAGCGTTGTGATGTTTTTGTCATGAAAAACCACTTCTCATCAATGTGCAGCACATTTTTAAAACCTTTGAATGTTGGGTTTGAAGGGATACTTGTTTCTTCTAACTGTTGCAAACAGAAAATCAACCTTTGCCTCCTATTTGCATCATTAAGTGTGGGCTTAATTGCATTAGTATGGCTACGAAGAATACCTCTTTTCACCCAATTATGCACTCTTGACTTGCTGATCCCCACTGACAAGGCTAGTGACCTGATTGTGGTTCTCCTCCACAGTGGAATCACTGTAATTGATTCCAAGTCCACTGCGGCTCTTTTCCTTCCAACATTTCCTACCATTCGACTACTTACGTCAATTAAGGCACCTACTTGTAGTTGTGCCTTAGCCTTTCTCCACAAGGAACTAGTAGTCTGCCTACTAACGTTGAACTCAGCAGCAACACTTTGCACAACACCCCTCTGAGCAGTTTGTGTGCCCATTAAAATTTTTTTGTGCACATAGTAACAACTTGTCAATTATTCCTTGTCTCTCTAAATCGGTTAGCCTTTTTTCCTTTGAGCCCGTCTATTTTCGAATTGTGGGTGGAGTGTTTGTGTAGGAATTGATGGCTCCATTCCTGAAATTGATATGGCATCAAAGGCATCTTTGGATAAAGTAAAAAAAGGACTCTTTCTCACCCTAAGAAGAGAAAGAATGAAGAAAAAAGTGTTCCTCACATGGCTGGAAGAGAAAAGTAAAGAAAGGAAGACAATGGCAGCAAAGAAGGAACTGTGGATAACCAAGAAGAGAAAAGCAAAGAAGGAAAGACAGTATTTATAGCCTAGGGAGTTTTATGTTTAGCTGGGAAATTTTGACTTAATGGAGGGAAAACCCACCTTTTTTGGCTAATTTGGGCAATGAAATTACCTTGTAATTTAAATTGTGGTGTAATTGATGTGGACATGTACTTTAAGAAACATCACTTTTTGACTTGTATCATTATCTATCAAATTACTACTTTTTCATTCAAGTTTTTTTTGCTTTTCTTAATTTGCGTGCCCGGTCAAATCGTAAAGTTTAATATTGGACGGAGGGAGTATTCAAACATCGCGGAAACTTTTATTTATTTGCGCGTTTTCATTAACTATTTGATAAAATAAAATATTTTTGTCACCTCTTATTTTGTAAATGTTTCAATATACTTTTTAAATATGTAAATTTTATTTTTTATTTATATATCAATCTTTAAATAAAATATATTGAAAAAAAAAATTAAGATTACATTCGAATGTATTCCATAAAATAAACATGAATCTCCAAAGGATTTCCATAAAATAACTATGTCCAAAATAACAAGGATTATGCTATGTGTACCCCAAGGTTTGTACCCCAATTTGTACCCCGCAGTTTTGCACCAATACTTTGTGTTGGTGTAAAACTAATTTTTGTTAAACGCACCAACATTTGTGTCCGTGTGAATTTTTATTAACGCACCAACACTTGTGTCGGTGTAAACCATCGAAATGTTTGTGCAAACCTGTGGTGTACAAATGGGGTATATTTTTTGGTGTAAGTGTAGCATGGTCTAAATAACAATTAACCTCGGCGAGAGACTCTTCCCTTTGGACCCGTGCTATAGAGTTTGTAATACTCCGTATCATTGCACGAGCGTGTACTCTGCCCTTCCAAAATCGTTAATGTCTATTAGATTTCTTATCTTTTTTAAATAAACTCGATAACATATAAGATAGTCATTGAGTCTAAAATCACAAATATATTTATCAATATATTATAATATATGTTTAAAAAAAGAATAAAGGTATGATACACTAAAATAATATACTTCATTACATCAGACAAACACAGATTAAATATTTGTGATAATGAATACTTAGTATTTGAGTTTACCACGTATACAACTAGGGTACATACATGTAATTAGCGCTTTAAAAAATTAGGACCCCAGCAAATTGGGGACTATAGGCCTACGCGGCTACGCCTCATCCTTAACAAGAGCTCTATGCATAATAAATGTTTGTAATTTTTGTTTTGTATTCCAATACTAATTTGCAAATTTCAGCAAAAAATACTAATTAATAAATAAAATTATTTAAAAAAATCACAAATTATTAAACGAATGAAGTATTAAATTTTAATGCCAAACTTGATAATCTTGAAATTAGATGAGGACAGGCTAGCAAGTACACCGTACAGTCCTTTAATGTACCCCTCATTATAATCATTAATTATTAGTAGTACTCCATTTCTCCTGGTAATTAATGAAGAGGAGCTGTTATAATTAAGAAACTTCCATAACACGGAGAAACTAAATGCAATGTACTGTATGTGCTATACATATTTTTTTTTGAAAAAAAAAGAAACCCCACAACAAATTAATTATGGGGACAAAAGAGTAATGTTCTCTCTGATTAAAATTAGGGCGGGGTATGGAGCAACTACCGAATCGATTCAGGAGTTCTTCGAAAAAATTGAAAGTACTTAATTGCACGATATTGAATCAAACAATCAATTTCGGAATTTGGAAATGGTACAAAGTGATTTCACGTATCAAAAATTTCGAACTGAACAATCGAACATATATCCTAATTAATATATTATTATTACTATTATCATCATCATCATCATCATTGTCATTATTATTATATTCCTTCATCGAACACTCAGGTTTTATTATATGTAAATTATACTTTTATTCAATTTTTAATTCTTCGTAGATAAATCTAAAACTATTAACACGCATTTGAAATGCTATTTTGATATAATTTGTTCTCTTTAGTTTGTGAAATAAAAATTGAGTTTAATAAATATTTTTTGCATTTAAATATTCATTTTTTTGTATTTTGTTTCCTTATCTAAATGTACTTTAGATTTTCAAAAACAAAGAGTTTTATTACATTTTAAAGGAAAAATTGATATAAATACTCCCAGAATTTTGAAATTTTACAATAATCAGCTTTTTGTATTTTGTTTCCTTATCTAAATGTACTTTAGAAATTTGAAATTACTACTCCCACTATGTATAATCAGCTTTTCTTATGCTTACATGTAAGTAATTATGCTTAGTTGACATCTTAGTTGTTTTTTTGTTTTAATAAGAGAAAAAATTATATAAATACTCCATGAAATTTAATATTTTACAATAATACTCTCAAAACCAAATAAAGACTTCAGTACTCTAAAAAATATCTTCCTTTTACGTGTTATGATGTTTAATAAAAGTGGTGTGAAATCAAAAAATAAAATTATATATCTAAAAACTACATCATAAGATCTATAAAACTAGTAATGATATAATTATATTATTTTATGAAATATATAATTAAAATAGGTAAGCAAAGTAAATAAAATTTGATCTTGTTAATAGTCTTAATAGTGAATGAGAAGATAATTTTTGGACGAAGGGGGGTATTTTTTATTAAAATATAAAAAAATACGGAGTATTTAAGATGCCAATTAAGCTGAATTAATTAATCTTTAATATTACTAAAAAATTTATTTTTACATATTACTATATTAGTTTTTTAATATGTAACTTTTATTTTTTAATTTCACATCATTTTTCATATAAAATACTTTAAAAATAATTTCAGTCAAATATAGTAACATGCAACGAGAATATACTTTTGGGAGAACTGGAGTCTTTATTTGATTTTGGGAGAATTGTTGTAAAATTTTGAATTTTTATGAGCATTTATATAATTTTTTCCTCTTATTAAAACAAAAAAAAACTAAGATGTCAACTAAGCATAATTACTTAAATGTAAGCATAAGAAAAGCTGATTAGGCATAGTGGGAGTAGTAATGTAAACTTATAGTTTAATTGGGAGCACCGGAGTCTTTTATTAAATTTGGGAGTATTATTGTAAAATTTCAAATTTCTGGGAGTATTTATATCAATTTTTCCCATTTTAAAATATAAATTAGGTACGTAAATATTTATTTTAATTTATACTAAAACGAGTATCCAAACATCTCGCACCACCTCGAACCGATATTTCGGGATCGAAATTGGGATTTGTACAACGTAAGTTCTCATACCAAATCAAAATATTTTGTACGGTATTGGTATGAGTTAAATAATGTATCATTCTCATCCCAAATTAAAATATGTTTAGACACAATCACATAGATGATCTAAGAACATATATGTCTCATCTATAAATTTAATTTAATTTTTCATGTAGGACTATAAAATATGGGACCCTTATCTCCATTCAAAGTTTCCATTTTAAAGTTCCATTTATTTGAATAAACAATATAAATCACTCTAAATAGGACTAAATATAGAGAAAAGTACCAAAATAGGTTTTTCATATTTTTTTTCCGAAATAGGATTTCGCACTGTGTTAATGTGACACTGTACATGTGCACATCACTATACTTTTTGGTAATGTACATGACTATCTTTGGCAATGTAAATGCATTTTAACTCCTATTTCAGAAATAAAAACATGAATCTCCTATTTTAGTATATTTTCGGTGTTTTAGTCCTGGTCTTTCTCCCTAAATTTTTTTGTTGTTCCTATGGCAAATTCCTAACCGAAGGAACAAAAAATTTCAAGAAATGAAGGAACTTTCATTATATTTCTGCAACTCATACATTCTCTTTCCCCCTCAATTCTCATGGGGATACTACAATATTAACTCAAAAGAAAAAACAAAGGAAAAAAAAAAGTTTACATCTTTTATGCCATTAGTGACAAAAACTATGTATGTCAGAAAGAACAGAGAAAAAAAAGAATAAAAGAATTCCTTTACATGAAAAAGTGAGGACTCAAGTGTCATTTTTCCCATTCACACACTAAAAGTAATGAACTTCAGCAGCAATTATGAGGTCATTATCAGTGTATCTTTAGACAGTGGAGATGAATGCCTTCTTGAGAGGCAGCTGAGTTTGTGAGACAGATTCTTCCTGTTTCCCATAGGAGATAAGCTGCAAGAGGCTACCCGGTTAAGGGCACCTGCCCTTAACCGGTTAGCGCTCTTAGGGGACAGCGCGACTTCTCCCAACGCATGGGATTGGAGCTGCGAAGGATAGTCCCTCACGCATCCGATCCTCGGGCCCACCCCGCTGCTCCATTTGCAGGAGAGCTGGTTTCCTAACTGGTAGGATTTTGCCCCTTTATGGGAGTTGATCCTACGCAGGATTGATTCTTCAGGAACCGTTGTTCGCTTTTCTTCTTCTTCTTCTTCTCCTGTCGATTCGTACCCATTCGGTGGAGATTTACTATTTAATCTCTCCAAGAAATCACTTTTGTCCGAGATTTCGAGTTCAGTTAACTTCGGGCCCTCTAATGTTGCGGGAATTTCGTTTTTTATTGGCTCATTTTCAGGAAGATCGTCTTCCTCGGATGAGTTGTTTGAGGAGTACACGCCACTCTTCTCGCCGCTTGATTCTTGTTCTTCTTCTTCAGTGCATTCGAGCTGAAATGACACAAAATCATTTTTTTCTTAGTCAAAACCTTGTAGTTGGTTGTGACATTTTATTAGGTCTGTAATTGTTGTTGTTACTGTATATATGCGAGTAAACGAGTTTTGGAGATTATTTTTTCGTACCTTAACGTTTGTGAGATCAATGTCGTTCTCCTTGAGAAACGAGATGAAATCTTGGAAATTTTCTGGCGTCGGGCGATAGTGTCCGCTGTGTGGCCAAACAGCCTGTTTGGGATACAACAAAATAAACAAACCCATAATTAGTTCAAGTTCAAAGATACTCTCAATATCAAGAAACCAACTCAATCAAAAGTTCAAACTTGCGGTTTTCACTTCAGAAAGCTAAGGATTTTTACTAATACTATACCTTCAAGATTCCATTCTCGACAACTATCCTCCCCGCGGCCAGTGTGGCCCCTCCAGCCAAGAAACTCGAGTGTTGAAACGCGCCTTTCGTCTTCTTCCCGATATATAATGTTTTGGAAGTACTAAGTACAAATATCCACTTGACACCTTTTAAATCATCTGTGTCAACAAGTTCCCTAGTGTTCTTGTACATGAGCTTCCCTTCTTTCACTTCAACCTCGTACGTCTTTCGTTCCATCTGCGTTAATAAAAATAAATATAAAAGTCAGCGTTTTTTTATGCGTCCAAAGAGAGAAAGCGGGTAAAGTTATTCAGGATTGTATTTAATTTTCTCTTGTACACATACCGGCCCGAGGTATTTAATGCACTGTTGCTGAAGCTTCCCCCGAGGGCATTTATCGACGAGGTTAACGTCCTTCCCCTCGCCTATATCTAGCCTGCACCGAAGGACAAAATGGGGAAATACATTTAATGGTCTTTTCTAATGAATGGAAACACAAATGGTAGAATGTATCAAGAAATGTACCAGTAGAAGAAGGGCTCATTGCTTTGAGAATGCAGCCACTGCACATAATAGATATGGAGGTTGTGTCCATAACGATGTCTCGGATCGATCTGTTTTCACACGATAAAATTTGAGTGAGAAATATAATTTTTTCTATGTCTCGGGTCGATCTATTTACACACAATAAAAATCGAGTGGGATTTTTTGGACCTACAATCGTAAACTTAAGTGATAATGACTCTTTTACCCCTGAGATGCAAAAAAAAGTACTTACTGCTTCAAGCCAGTGTTGTAAGGCAAGCTTTTGGGCTTTTCCATTCTTTGACAACCCTTTACCTACCTGCATTGGTCAAACCAACTTATTACTCCTTTTGACAAGCTAAGAGTCATAATCATATTTAGCTGATGTGGGATAACCTAGAGAACAAGAATTATTTACCTTGGCAGCCCGGGTGCGGGCCCGGGACCAGCGGGAGCTGGCAGACTCGTGTTTTTCCATATGGAAAAACGAGATCGAGCTGTGCTTCAGCTCGGCAAAGTCCAAGAGCTTCCACCAGCTGTGCTCGATCAGGACTGCACAGTCTGCCAGCTTCCTCCTGGTCCTGAAGCTCTTGTACACTTTTTGCAGCTTTATTGCCGCCACCTCGTGCTCGGGGTTGTCGGTACACGTAAAAGACTCTTTTACCCCTGTCCCCTTCGCCACATTGCCGTATCCAATCGAACCGGACCGAACTGGTTTCGGGATTGATGGTTCTGGGTTGTGGGCATTGAAGCTAACAGACCTAAACTCAGTGATCTCCTCATCTTTCCCAAAGTCTATTGACTTTACAATGACTGATTCAAGCCCATTCTCTGGGTCACTGAATGCTGCAAGTGGGCATGAAAATGACAGCCCCATACCAGAAAACCCTGTAAAACACAAATATTTTGATCAAAAATCCAATCTTTTTTTAAACCAGTTCAAAATCATGATCTCAAAACACTAAACACCCATTATTGGACCAAAATGACGATTGGGAAGGAGAGAAATGCCAAGAAACTCAAACCCAGGAAAAAAAACATTCAAGAATCAAGAATGCCCATTTGTTCAAAACCCAGTAATTTTGGTGAAAAGCCAACAAGAAATGGAAATGGGGGTAAAATAAAAATCAAGAAAAGATGAAAGATTTACCCTTTCTGAAGAAAGATTCAACAAACGGAGGGTAGGATTTATAATAGGGACTAGGGCGAACGGAGGGAAAGCAAAGACTAAATATAGAGCAATTGGTGTACTCTGTGCTGTAATATATGTACTCTCTGCGTACAACTGAGCGTGTTAAAGGTTAGCTGTAGGTTAGGATATTCACAGAGGGAGATATATAGCCGTGTGTGTGTGTGTGTGTGTATGGAGGAGGAGGAGGGGGTGGTGGTGGATAGAGTCAGAGGGCAGGCTGTGCCGCCGTGTGGTGGTGGGGGTGGGCGGTAGACAAAAAGGTAAGGAGTGACACGTGGAATGGACTTTTTTGTGACGGTTTTTTGTATAATAAGGTTAAAACTCAACTTTGGGCCTCACATATAGTCACCGTCTTTTCTAAATTAAGTTTGAGAATTTGCTCTTTACCTCTACCCTTTATTACGAGTACTAATATTAGTAGGATAAAGCTACACATACCCCTAAATTTTTGTACCCCAATTTGTACCCTACAGTTTTGCAGCAACATTTTGTGTTGGTGTAAAACTAATTTTTATTAACGCACTAACATTTTGTCTCTCTGTAAATTTTTGTTAACGCACTAATATTTGTGTTGGTGTAAACCATCAAATTGTTTGTGTATAACTGCGGTGTATAAATGGGGTACATTTTTTGGTGTAAATGTAGCATGGTCCATATTAGTAATCCCAAACTTTGAATCATGTGCATAAATAGTCCACAGTTTGACTGGACACTTATGCAGCGTTTTGTTTAACTTATTTTTTCTGCTTATTACTTATTTTATTATAATCAAATCAAAAACAGTTTTAATTATAACTGCAATCAGATCGGATCTTTAGAAAATCTGATTAGATCAGACGAACGAAACGCAACTTTACCATCCCTCGCAGGGCCGGCTCAAGCCAAGGGCAAGATGACCTCTTGGACAGTGCCCAACAGTAGATGGGGCCCCACTTTTTTGTAAATGTATTACATATATTTATTTATTATTTAATTATTTATATACTTTTCGCCTCAATTTAAATCACCTATTATTGTTTATAAAGTTTGATTGTAATTATTTTTAATTCATTTTATTTAAAAATTAGTGTAGAAATAAAAATAAAATTTATATATTTAAAAAGTACATCAAAAGTCCTATATCAACCAATTGGATCTCAAAAATGCTAGAAAAACTTCAGGAATTTTTGGCTAGTTATTAACGTATGTAATTATATATTTATAAGACTACACACTTGACTTTTTATTATTCTTATTACTATTGTACAGAGTAATTTTTTTATTATTAAAAATATAATTTATAGATTTTGCTTCATTATGACACGATGACCGATTTTTTCGGTGTTGTCCAGGGCCCATAATTTCTCAGAGACGGCCCTGATCCCTCGTTAGTAAAAATGATGGTTCACATCTTACTAAATATCTCACCCTAGCTTCAGCTCTGACTCTTTCTCACCCTGACAGTATACTCCCGAAGTAGAGAGGAAGACAGAGAGTGATACTAGAGTGGGGCTGAGATGAGAGGTTTATGGTGTAGAAATCATCATTTTCACTAAAAGAGCATCGTAGAACCAATAGCACTAGTGTCATTTTAGATTTTCTCATATATAAAATACTAATATCAACTTTTAATGTTAATATAACTATGTATTAAGATTAGTCATTGATATTTATATTCTTAGTTTTGCTTATAGTTTATAATATGATTAAAAAACTGTTTAGTGGTTAAGGTAGAAAAACTTTAATTGACTAAGCACTTATTTGCATTTATATAATCATTACTTTTAAAATCATTTGTGCCATTTTCATTTTTATTGTACATAGCTTGCATTTACATATTTACTATAGTATCTGCTTCGGCCTTGTGTTCTGAGCTGAATAAAATTATGGAGCATAAACGCTGACACCATAATAGTCAAGTGATACTCCCTGCGTCCTAAAACTTTCTTCCCATAACACTATTCCAACTTCACGGGAATTTATATTTATTTGTGTTTTTTCATGGCCTATATGATAAAATCAAATATTCTTGTCACCACTTGTTTTGTTGAACTTTTGATGTAGTTTTTAAATATGTATGTTTTATTTTTTATTTCTATACCAATATTTAAATAAAATAGATTGAAAAAATTTGGGATTTTTCTTCGTTTTGCGAACTGGGAAGAAAGTTTTAGGACGGAGGGAGTACTTCGTATTCAATTTCCATTGGAGACATATTTTTTCAAAATCATACATCGTTTCTTAGTAATCCAAAGTGGTAATAGCATGGGTGCCCCACGTGGTTTACAAAAAGAGCACCAAAACCTCTCTACTTTCAAAAGTTATTTATAAAACTACTGTGGTTTTTAAATAGTGCACAGACACCCCCTTTTGCCTATTCTAAACATTTCTACCCTTGGTTTTTTTCTATATTCAAATTTCACTTTTTCCTTTACATTTTTGTTTTCCAAATAAATAAAATAAAATATATGCCCTCTTTCTCAAATTAAAATTTTTCATTTATTTAATTTTCAAAAAAATAATTTTTTTTAGTGTTAAAATTCCGGTGAGCCGAGAACAACGGATAGAGTGTCGGGTAAAATTAATCACTTGCATATAAAGTCGGGATCCACAATTCTAACCCAAAAGCTTAAGCTGATAGGTAGGGCTTCACCCTTCAATATATGCAAGTGATACTCATCTTTATTTTCCGATGTGGGAACTCCAACACTCCCCCGCAAGTGGTAACTAGCCTGGCCTAGTTAGCACTTGAACAAACGGGTCTAGCATCTCAATCTCTTATAGCTAGCCCACACGACTGGCGGTGGCATCTCAATCTCTTTTTAGCCAACTCAGCCCAAACCACATACGGGTAGCTCATTTTTGCTAAACCCACATCTAAACAACCAGGAACAATCAAACCCGGACCGGACCTGCCCCAATACCATGTTAAAATTCCGGTGGGCCGAGAACAATGGATAGAGTGTCGGACAAAATTAACCACTTGCATATAAAGTCGGAATCCAGAATTCTAACCCAAAAGCTTAAGCTGATAGGTAGGGCTTCACCCTTCAATATATGCAAGTGATACTCATCTTTATTTTCCGATGTGGGAACTCTAACATTTAGAAAATGTTACAAAAAATGAAATAAAACACACTTTTTCATTTTAATTAGAAGTAAAATAAATAAAATAAAAAATTAGATAACATATACACACTCTATCTCTAATTAAAAATTCTAACTTATTTGCTTTTTAAAGGTAAAATAATTTTTTAAGGACTTTAAAAAATGAAGAACAGAAAGATGAAATAAAATATTGAGTTAAAGAAAAAGACTATTTTTTATATTTTATTTCTTTTCATTACCTTTTTTAATTATTATTATTTTTACTTTATACATAATATTTTATTTTTCATTTTCTTTTGTAACATTCTCCAAAAAAAATTTGTTTTCAAAAGTACATTATGAAAAATTCTAATTTGAGATGGGAATCGTATATTTTATTTTATATATTTGTATAATAAAGGAAATTGAAATTGGGAAAATTCAAGATCTGGAAAAACAAAGGGCATAAATGTCATTTTGCTTTAAAAATAGGTAAGGGTGGCATGTGTGATCTATTTAGAAACCACATGTATTTTACAAATAACTTTTGAAAACAGAGGGAGTTTTGACGTCCTTTTTGTAAACCACGGGGGCACACATGCTATTAACCCGTAATCCAAATAATAATAATAATAATAATATCAATGATACTTCATTCGTCTCATAATAATAACAATAATCATCATATTTAAAATTATAATATTAACTAATATTTAGGTGCAAGTGTATGTAACTTTCAATAAAGTAATGTGATTTAATCAAATTGTAATTATTATTTAATTCTTGATAAAGATTTTTTATCATTATTTTTTATATATTTATAGTCTGATCTGATCTGATTAGATTCAGATATGATCTGATTTGATTAGATCTTATTTGTTCTCATTTTAATAAGAATAAGTAATTAGCGGAAAAAATAAGTTGTACGGAATGAACATGAGTCTAATATAAGAAATATTTGCACTAAAACTTAAGTCATTTCTCTAAATAGCACTTAAATTGTTTTATTCTCTAAATAGCACTTTATAATGTCTATAAGGACCAGTGATAACGAATATTTACTTGAATAATGACTAATAGATAATGGCTAAAAGTGCTACATTGGGAAAAAACACATATAATGCTATTTAAGGAAAGTCATTATATTTTAGTGTTATTTACGTAAATTTCTCTTAATATAAACCTTAGATTTTAGTAGACAATTGGTTGAAAGTAAAAACATGTTCATATTCTACAAATTCTAGAATAAAGTGTCAAGGAAAATTTCACCGACTAATAAGTTGATCGGATAAATCCAAGGTAAATTATTCTTAGTATTATTTCTTTTTAAAGAAAATGTATTACCCACCTCATTACACTGCGTACTTGTTTTAAAATCATTATTACTTTCATAAAGTCTTTAATCATTAGTTTTAGAATCATTTCTGCCATTTTCATTTTCTATTTGTGTATAGCTCGCATTTACATTACTACTTTTGATTTTTGTCCGAGTAGAATTTTGTAATGATTTTTACATTAATAGCCTTTCACGCGTAATAACTGTATAGAATTATTCAAAACAATTGTGTAATTTCTTACCGAATTAATTAAAAAAATTAAAGAATTAACTTCTTACACAATTAATTAAGAGATTGAGATTATAAGATTTACTATATACTCCGTATTACATTGATGAGTATGTGAAGCTACTCAAAAAAATTATGAAGTGAGATTTAGTTTCGGAAATAAAGTTATTGCATTAAAAAATATAATTTTTATAAATAAATTTACCGTTACTTAACGATACTTCCTTCGTCCCAAAATACTACCTTCATTTGATAAAATAGTCATATCATCATTTGTTTTTAATTAAACTTTATTGTGCTTATATTATTTTAAAAAATCCACACCAATTTAAAATTCCACTTATTCAAAAATAACTTCGGTTAAAATTAAAATCATAAACGGATACATAACGAATGAAGCAAATAAATACAAATTAAATACCCCTTATTTTACATCATTCATATATTTTAAATAACTTAAAACAATCTAAACGTTTACTTGCAATTTATTATTTTTTTATAATTTAAAAAAAAATTATACCTCTAGCTAGTTTATTACATTCCCATACTAGAATATTTAAAAATACATTCTACATTTTATGAGGTACATTTCGAAAATTGTTCAATAATTTGAAAAAAATCCAATTAGAACTTAAATAGCTACCTTGAGAAAGTACTCAAAGTCCGACGATGAAAATCATCAAAATCTATACTATTTTTAAAAGCAGGGGAAATTTTTCCTGCCCAAACGCACCTACGTTGTGAATCGTCTATTAGCGTCAGAATCTTGATCCACGACCATTATTCATCTTTGGAACGTTTCCATGTATAATCGTGCTTAATAACTAATACGGAGTAATGTTTACATGTATAATGATTAATAATAATTGTGCATATGACGTATTATATTAGCAAATATTTAATAATATATCAAGTTTCCGTGTTTAATAATATTGAAATAGAA